TGTGATGATATTATACATTAATTATTTCCTCTGCAGACGACTGCCCAGATTTATTTTGTCGCTTTTTTCATCAAAAATTAAAATGTCCTAAAGGATTTGCTCTTAATTTTATCAGACACACAAAATAATAATTAATCCTCATCATTTTTTTAAAAAATTACCTAAATTTATATGGCAAGAAAACCAAATTTCTTAAAAAATATATAAATAAATTGCATATAAGTTTCATTAGTATTGAATGGCATTTTTGTAATTTAAATAGATAGCATTTTTTTGTACTTAACATAAAGATATAGATAGCCCTTATCAAATTTTTTGATAAAAGGAGTTAACCCACTAATTGGTATATCCGAGATTTCCCCTTCATGTGATGATAAATTATTTAGAAATTTAACTATCTCCGGGTTTGGGAAAAAGTTTTGAAAATTAATATGGGTTGGACTGGGCTTGGAAAATATTCCTCAAGATTAATATTTGCTTGCACCAGACTTGGGAATATCTTTTACAAATTTTTATGGGCCGGGCTCGGAAAATATTTTTAAAATTATTATGGGTTAAGCTAGGCTTGAGAAATTTTTTTAAAAATTAAAAGGTCTTGGACGCTTGGAAATTTTTCCAAATATTATGAGCTTGGACCTGGCTTGAAATTTTTTAATGTTAAATATTAGTCTTATGTAATCAATAATATATTTACAAATAATTATGATATTGGGTAAAAGCTCATTTAAATATATTTTGACTCAAAAAATAGTTTCCACTCTTAGTCCTAATGGGTTGGACTCAATGACATTGGTTGGATTTGACCTAAATGGGGAGGGGGTTTAAAAATAATATAAATTGGAAAGGATTTTTAAATAAAAGGTAACATCTATTTTAAAAAACAATAAAATTCTCATTCTCCGTCATTTTTGACCTATCTACTAGTTATTAATAATTATAAAACATTTTTGGTTTACTTTTTTTATATATAAATGCTTTTTTCCAAAATTGTATAAATTATTAGTTTAAAAAATATCAACTTTTACATTCTTTCTTTCAAATTATTGTTTAAGATATATGCATACATTTTTGGGGGTCAGGGAGGAGGACTAAGGGGGATATCTTTTATTAGCTTAAAATGATATTCACAAAAAGTGATTAACGTGAGTGTCATGGCTATTACTGCAAATTAACCAGCATCATTATTTGGTTTGCTATGTAATTTAAGATTATTACTACAACGGCTGAGAGCATATGATTGTATATTTTGGATAAACAATAATCGATTGTAATCGTTTATGTATCATTTAAAATAGAAGATAATCTTTTAGAAATGTAATATCTCACATTAATTTTCTCGATTACTTATCTAGCTTCCATCATGTCATCTAAAAGGAAGTCTAATCACCATATAGTTTTAAGATTTGGATGGTCGTTTATACTCACTTCTTCAAAAATGTTGGATTGGTATAGGCCTATAAATTTTTCCTTATTAGTCCATTCAATAAAACATTGTCTAAAATGGTAACAGAGAGTTATATTAGTTTGATAACCTTTTGTCAATGAAAGTTGCTAAGAATTATATTATTGCATTATGGGTTTTTAAAAACCATTATCAATTGAGGCATATGTATGAATTTAATCTTTTTTATCACTTGTAATTCTTTAGATGTAAATTTTTTTATATCAGCGATCGAAAATATTTTATACTGTAATAAATTGATTTTGTATTAAAAAATATTATTTTTAGAAATGTCTTGTATTGTTTTAATTATTAATATGCCAGTTTATTTTGTATGTATAATATAATAAATGAAATAATATGAAATTCAGAATAATTGTTCAGAGTTAACAAATTTTTAAAAAGTATAATATATTATTATAAAACCCGGCCGAAGGCCCGCAAATTGGGGGGTATGGGGGGGGGGGAAGGGGGGGGGCGAAGCCTCACATAAATTATTTTTAGTTGAGCCACCTGAGATTGTAAAGGCGAGCGACACCCCTGAAAATCTGTAGTCTCTGAGCATATTGTTGATGTAATTTTAATAGAGGTTATATCTCTAATTTTTTTAAATTTGTGGTTTGAGTATTAGAAAATCAGATATTATTAAAACATGAACCAAAATTTATAATGGGTGAAGATACTTATATTAAATATAAAGATGGATGATTTTTTTAATATGTAATTTATGTGGATGAATTAGAATGTCAGGCAACATTGTAATATCACCTTTTTTGGAGCATAATGGAGAGTCGGGTGAAGTTTCAAGAAATGAAAATGTTTTTGATAAGTTTGTAGTTGTTATATTGAAAAAAGACAACATTTGCTTGGATTTTCACCAACTATCGTAAGTTCTTTACAAGATTTATCATGAAGTTTTTCTGCTCCACTTTTGTATTTTCTTTACTATATATTGTATGGATGATAATATAAAAAATATAGATATTTAAAATTAGAATTTATATTTAATAAAATAGCTATCAAGGTTATCTGTATTTTTTTTTATGTTTAATGATCTATGCCAGATAAAATGTTGATGTTATGTTTAAAATATATTGATAATTATTAATCAATATATTTTAAATAAAGATTCCACTCTAGCACAGAAAAATCCTTAAATATTTACATTGGATTATGTTAGTGAAACAAATATGGCTCATTTTAGTTAGGAGATGGGGGAGGGGGGGGGATAATAAAATTTTTTAAGAAATATTATTGTTATTTAAATAATTTAAGCATAAATTTATTAGGACTAATAACTTTTCTAATACACAATTTTAAATAAATGTGAATTACAAAAAAATTTATATAAAAACCGACATTGAAAAACTATAAAATAAATGTGAAATATAAAGTGAATATAACCACGATATGAATCTTTAAATGATCCAAAATTGTTGAATTTTTTGAGCCTTTAAAATTTATATATAAAGTATAAAAAATTTAAATGTTGGAAATATAAATTAATACACAAAAAGTTTATTAGGAATCCATCCTTGCTTGGCGTTAAATGTTTATGAATATTCAAAAGATCCAAATCATTCAATCTACTTTCAGAAGGTGTTTTTAATAGGTATGTTTTTCAGAGACTTGCAGGCCCGGCCAGCGTCTACATGGCAAAAAATTTGATGAAAGCAAACCCCTCCAAAATCTACCCATACACACCTAAAAAAATCCCGCGGCCGATGGTATAGTAATTTTATTTAAAAAATCTTATAATAAGCCACCATTTATAACTTTACAACATAATTCTATTTACAATCTTTCAAGCCTATTTGGGGAAAAAAAATTTTAAAAATTTGTAGGTGATAATCAACTTATATTTAAATGCAATCTTTTCATAATTTGGTTGATATTCACTTTATTTTCATAAAATATATATAATTGAATTAAATGAGATAACATATTAATATTTCTATAAAAAAGATCTAAAATATTGTAAAAAATATAAGACGAATAAATTTAAAGAGGTATATTTAGCTTGATTCCACATATCTATATTACCTTTTAATTAATTAAAAACATGTATTGTAAATAAAGCTATTATATAAAATATTAGAATAAAATGAATTATAGTATATTTTGCATTGAAATTATAAAATGTTAAATTAAATTTACATATTTTAAAAGCGTATATATTCGCTGTGAAAAAGATACATTACTTAATTAATAATCTGGATAACCTTATAGATGTTAATGCAAATTGTATTATAATATCATCAATTGTAAATTTTTCAAAAACATCAACTGGATATTAACAGTAAATTTTCTAAAAATGGGTCCGAAATTTTATTCCGCATTCGAGTTTTGTTAATTTTTACTTTACTCATGGCTCTTTCGGCTGAACAGGAAGTTGAAGGAAGGGTTAATAAATATTTATATAATAAATAATTAGAATAAGAATTTAATTGATTTAAAAGTCGATATGGTAATATAAAAAATATTTTATCCATTTTTTTATTTTGGTCATGATTTCGCTGTTTATATTTTCTTCGGTAGTTTGATCGTTTGCAATACCTTTAATTATATACAATTACAAATAAAATATCAATAAATTACTTTCATCAATATATAACGCGTCATTCTTTTTAACTTTCAATAGTTCTTCGCAAAAAATGATTGATTGAGACTCTAAATATAAAGAGCGAAAATCATTATATTCATCAACAATGTTTTGGACATCCAATTGATAAGTATAACAAATTTCGGATATTTGCCATCCTTCTATTTTTTCATTATTCATAATTGCAGCGGGAGTAAAAATGGATATTTGTGATAAAAAATAATAATTTAAAATTTAATTTATTCAACTTGTTTTTTTTGTTCCACATAATTATTGAATTCTGTTTGATCCAATTTGAATATTGATTTCATATTATACAATTCAGTTATTACATTATTCTTTTTCAAAAAACTATTAGATAAGGAATGTAATTTTAAAAATATATTGTCTCCATTAGCTATATTTTAAAATTATTTATAGAAATAGTTACTAATATTAACCTTTTAGTCTTTGTAATTTATTTTTTGTATGTTGTATTAATTTGGTTACCATAGCCAAATCATTACCAACTGCCTGCATTTCAATACAAGCCTCATGTGTACATTTCAATATTTCTTTCAAAATAAATAGACTTAATATAAAATTTTCATCCTTAATTCTTGATAATAATCCATCGGCAATGGAAGAGGTGCTTGGGTCATTAGAATCTTTTAATTCAACTAATGTTGCTAAAATATGTTCATAAACATCTAAAAAGATTTCTACAGATTTGTAGGATGATGACCAATTTCTGAAAATATATAAGTTTCATTAAAAATATTTTATTTACCTTGTTGTGTTTTTTATTCTTTTAAGAGATTTCTTGGACATTCTCATTTGATATTGAACAAACAAACCTTGACGTCTAGGTCCATTCATAAAATTATATAACTCATCTAATATTCCCATTGCCTTTTTCATTTCAATTTTGCATCCGCAAACATGAGCAACTACTAAATTTAGCCGATGTGCATGGCATCAAATATAGATGGCTTTTGGAGCATCTTTCAATATTAAAGCCTGCATTCCTTTGTATACTCCTCTCATATTCCCTGCACCATCCATACATTGTCCAACCAAATAATCAAGAGGAAGACCAAGATCATTAAACTTAGAAAAAAGATGTTTCTTTATATTTTCACCACTGGTTTCTGATGTTGTAAAAACATGTATGATCCTTTCTACAGGATGTGGATGCAGATCATCTTCTATATACCGTACAAGCAAAGCTATGCATTCTTTTTTAGACACATCATATGTTCCATCTAATATGATGCTATAGGCACGATTCTCTTTAATTTTTTGAATAATGCTTTTTGTTATTTTTATCTTAATAATTTCAGTTATTTTTTTCACGTCGCCATATAACAGTAAATTTATATAAGGTCTCGAAATTTTATCTGATTTTTTTCTCCGCAATTTTTCGTTGTTATCCATGTATGCACGTAAAGTTGGAACCGTCATTAATTTTATGAGACACATAAAATTACCTTCATTCGAATTAGAACCCCAAAAGGCTATATTACATTTTATAAGGTACATAATGGCATCGATAATATTATGAAATATATTACGATTTTCCATGATTATATCAAGCTTATTTGATAGCAAATGATCATGAATGCGTTTATTAGCCAAGTCATGTTTGCATATTCACAATCTTTATGAAGAGAAGATGCTTCGTGTCTCTCTAAGTAACGCTTGTTTTTCCAATTATTTACTCCAAGTTGAGTCCAAAAAGAATTGGGCCACCAAACATAATACAATATAGACAAAAGACTTTGTATAAAGTAGTGCTATAAGAGAGCCAATTGGGGTTGAGGGAACCATCTATATTAACCTTTCTATAATAGATTATGTTCATGCTCCTGTTTAAAAAGTAAAAAAAATAAATACTGGTATAGAAATAATGGATGGGTAAAAATTAATGAAAATTATATATTAATTAAAACCTCTTTAGAGTAACAGGATATTGAAATTTATTTGTACATGGCTGACAAGGGCCTACAGCAATTATGAAATTAATCAAAATATTAATCATCCTAAATAATATGAAGTGAAATGGGTCATTTGGTTCCTTCTTTTTGTATAGCTGAATAAGACTTGGACTTTGAATATCCTCATAATTTATTCCTTTCAAAAGTTATTATATAAATTTTATTTATATAAAATACCTCATGCAAAGTGAGCGCCTCACTGGAACTGGGGATTGGATGAGGAGATAATACAATTTTTGAATCTTCAATAATGGAGGTTTGCTATAAATAAATAGTATAATTTGTTTACTTATGAAAAACTAAATTTTTACTAAAATTTTAGTCAAATGGTCATTTTATTCTTAACTACATTATAATTAAGTTTTTAATAAATGTTGGAAATATTTGAATAACCTCATATTCATAATTTATTTCCTCCAAAAGTTATCATATAATTTGTATTTAAATTAAATACCTCATTATGCAAAGTAAGCGCCTCACTGGAACTGGGAATTGGATGAGGAGATAATACAATTTGTGAATTTTTAATAACTGAGATTTCTATAAATAAAGAGGAGTTTAATTTCTTTCCTTATGAAAAACTATATTTTTAATAAAATTTTAGCCAAATGGTAATTTTTTTCTTAACTACATTATAATTAAGTTTTTAATAAATGTTTTAATTCTACAAGAATACATGATTGAGAAAACAGGCATTAAAAATATTATGAAGTCCATAAAGTTATCAGGTTACAATGGCAAGATGATACAAGTGATAGGTACAGCAGTGAATGTAGAATACAAAGGGAATTCACAAATTTTGAACGCGTTAATCAGAAACATTAATAAAATGTCTTTGTTAGGAAGATCATGTTAAAAATTTTGAAAATATACTTGAAAGATTCATAGGCATGATAGATGCAGATTAATATAAAACTGCGAACAAATGAAGAAATCATAAAAGAATATTATAATGACTGTAAAAACAATAGTAAACTTATAAATAAAAAAATTAGTATAAATAACATTGTATCTTAGGAAATTCTAATAGCTAAATAAAACAATGATAATATTATAAACATACCTAATATAACACATAAAGTAAGTGGATGAAATTCACGCAGATAACATTTTGAAAATAGTTGAATCCAATTGATATTATAAAAAAAAGTAAAAGAACTTTGAAATCTTAATTCAATTAAAGATGAAAAGATTTAAATTTAAAAATTCCTAAAAATTAACATTACCTTACTTTTATTATTTTACTACATTATATTAACTTAATAAGTTTTTTTAATACTTTGGTTTTAAATTTTTATTATTAACCTATTAAACATATTGTTAAATTGAACTTTATAAAGTATATATAGATATAAAAATAGTGTGATAAATAGTTAAAAAAAATATTTAATAATAAAATATATAATTTATTTTCTCTATACCCTGACTACTTTAATATTAATATTATTCTGGTAAAATTTTAAATAAAAATCAGTTTCTATTAATTCACAAATTTAAGGTATATTTTCAATAATATTTATTGTCTTTAGTTACAATAATAAATAAAAAATATTACTTTTTGGAAGTAAGATGTTATTGTCTTTTTTTGCAACTGGGTTTCAACTCCATTTGTGATATTATATGGAATATCACAATTTAAGGATACCCAATTATTATTATCTCTTTTGATGGCTACTTTTGTAAATTTCCTATCAGTTGACTTGACATGAGGATGTTTATGTTTATAATGTTCATGTATCTTGTCACTTCTTATTTTAGAAGTTTTACAGTTAAGGTAATTACACTTTACCTTAAATAAGGTTCTGTTACTTGGCATCTAGAAAGAAATAATTATTAATATAATTTTTTACATATTATGTTTTTTATTATTCTTTGCTTGCTGATATATATTTTTAAGCATGACTCAAAAAATTACCTAAAATTTATCCTATCCAGAAATTTATTAAAAAACATAATATAAATATATTAACCTCTAAGAAAAGTACCAAATAGGAAATGTGTAAATATTAACTTGATAAAATGGTTCAATGAAAATGGTTGACGAAGAAAGTTTATATTATTTATTAATTGACAAATATCTTTACTTTAATCGACATTTGTCAGAAAATCAACGATAACCATCATAATCGTATCAATTAATGGATTTAAAAAGATTATAATTCAAATCAAAAATTACCCTCCAAAAATCAATATCTACCCCCAAAAAATTAATGCCCCCAAAATCAATACCTACCCTCCAAAATGCTAATATATTTTGGAGGCATTTGTCTCCTACCCCCTCCCCCCCCCCCGGCCATGTAGACGCTGGGCCCGGCCCCCAGTTCTGACCGTATTATAATTTTTTTAAACATATCCGGGCCGGGCTCAAATTTTTTTAAAAAAAAACACTCTAGCTGTGCCTAAAAATTTTTTTAAAATAATATTCGGGCCGAGCTGTATATTTTAAAACTAAATTTTTGAAATCGCCATTATTAGCTATAAAAATCAATAATAAATATAATTAATTTTAAAAGAATTCGGGCCGGCAGCGTCTACATGGCAGAAAATTTGATGGAGGCAAACCCCTCCAAAATCTACCCATACCCACCTAAAAAAAATCCTGCGGCCTTCGGCCGCGAAATTTACAGACCTACGATGGTATAGTGATTTTATTTAAAAAATCTTATCTGCCACCATTTATAACCTTACAACATAATTCTATTTACAATCTTTCAAGCCTATTTAAGGAGAAAAAAATTAAAAATTTGTAAGTGATAATGAACTTTTATTTAAATAATGCAATCTTTTCATAATTTGGTATTCACTTTATTTTCATAAAATATATATAAGTGAATTAAATGAGATAACATAATAATATTTTTATAAAAAAGATCTAAAATATTGTAAAAAATATAAGACGAATAAATTTAAAGAGGTATATTTAGCTTGATTCCACATAATTAAAAACATGTATTGTAAATAGAGCTATTATATAAAATATTAGAATAAAATGAATTATAGTATATTTTGCATTGAAATTATAAAATGTTAAATTAAATTTACATATTTTAAAAGCGTATATATTCGCTGTGAAAAAGATACATTACTTAATTAATAATCTGGATAACCTTATAGATGTTAATGCAAATTGTATTATAATATCATCAATTGTAAATTTTTCAAAAACATCAACTGGATATTAACAGTAAATTTTCTAAAAATGGGTCCGAAATTTTATTCCGCATTCGAGTTTTGTTAATTTTTACTTTACTCATGGCTCTTTCGGCTGAACAGGAAGTTGTAGGAAGGGTTAATAAATATTTATATAATAAATTTAAATTAGAATAAGAATTTAATTGATTTAAAAGTCGGTATGGTAATATAAAAGAAAATTTTATCCATTTTTTTATTTTAGTCATGATTTCGCTGTTGATATTTTCTTTGGTAATTTGATCGTTTGCAATACCTTTAATTATATACAATTACAAATAAAATATCAATAAATTACTTTCATCAATATATAACGCGTCATTCTTTTTAACTTTTAAAAGATCTTCGCAAAAAATGATTGATTGAGACTCCAAATATAAAGAGCGAAAATCATTATATTCATCAACAATGTTTTGGACATCCAATTGATAAGTATTACAAATTTCGGATATTTGCCATCCTTCTATTTTTTCATTATCCATAATTCCAGCGGGAGTAAAAATGGATATCTGTGATAAAAAATTTAAACAATCATAATTAAATCGATCATTTAGGTGATTAATTATTGCATTTAGAACAGGGAAAAATATTTCCGTTCTATATCTATAATAATAAATAATAATTTAAATTTTTATAATTTATTCAACTTGTTTTTTTTTGTTCAACATAATTATTGAATTCTGTTTGATCCAATTTGAATATTGATTTCATATTATACAAATCAGTTATTACATTATTCTTTTTCAAAAAACTATTAGATAAGGAATGTAATTTTAAAAATATATTGTCTCCATTAGCTATATTTTAAAATTATTTATAGAAATAGTAACTAATATTAACCTTTTAGTTTTTGTAATTTATTTTTTGTATGTTGTATTAATTTGGTTACCAAAGCCAAATCATTACCAACTGCCTGCATTTCAATACAAGCCTCATGTGTACATTTCAATATTTCTTTCAAAATAAAAAGACTTAATATAAAATTTTCATCTTTAATTCTTGATAATAACCCATCGGCAATGGAAGAGGTGCTTGGGTCATTAGAATCTTTTAATTCAACTAATGATGCTAAAATATGTTCATAAACATCTAAAAAGATTTCTACAGATTTGTAGGATGATGACCAATTTCTGAAAATATATAAGTTTCAAGTTTCATTAAAAATATTTTATTTACCTTGTTGTGTTTTTAATTCTTTTAAGAGATTTCTTGGACTTTCTCATTTGATATTTAACAAACACACCTTGACGTCTAACTCCATTCATAAAATTATATAACTCATCTAATATTCCCATTGCCTTTTTCATTTCAATTTTGCATCCACAAACATGAGCAACTACTAAATTTAGCCGATGTGAATGGCACCAAATATAGATGGCTTTTGGAGCCTCTTTCAAT